CATTTCCACTTTGAAAACATGAATATGCACACTGGTGTGATGAATTCATGCAATGAAGCCATAGTTTTATGGCTTCCCAGGAGTTCATTAGGATTACTTTCAGAATAAACCTACATTAAAATTTAGCTTCAGGTCACCTGCCCCCCACAGCTAGCAGCTCAGGTACTTCCTGTGGAGATATATAGATATAGATGAAAAAGATATAGAAACAGACATAGACATAGATATAGATATATATTCAACTTCAGGTTTGGAATGTGGTTTGTAAGGAAGTGAAAATATTTGTTTGCTTCCTCATAAGGAACCATGAATCTTTTTCTTTTTCTTCTCTTGTCCCCTCCTCCTCCTCCTGCTCTTCTTCCTCTTCCTTCTTCTTCTTCTCTCTCTCTCTTCCTTCCTTGTTTTCTTTCATTTTTCTTTGAGTCAGTCTCAAACTTGAACGTCCTGCCTCAGCCTCCCAAGTACTAGGATTACAGGTATATACCACCATACCTGGCCCATGACACCTTTTCAAGAATTCATTTCTTTACTAATGACAATAATGACTGACCCAAAACTATTTCAGTTGGAGTTGATAGACTTCAAATGGTTCTCTCAGAGGAAATGGATCCATGGGATACTTGTTCAAAGGCACAGTGTGTTTCACTAGCATTCTCCATGCTAAGTTATCTAAGACATAAAAGATGTGAGTGCCTTTTGAGAAAGAATGTATTTAATGCACACATTCACTGTATGCAATTCATCTTCATTTCAGAAATGTCACAGCATGCAGGAAAAATATTTAAGTGCACCTAAGATTATAGGAACCTGGTTCTAAATACCTTAGTCTGTTCTTTTTTCCAATACCTTAAAATTCTAAGACAGTTATTCCAAGATACCTAAGAAAGGAGTTAGTATAGTCTTTGAAGAATATACAATGACATCCAGGTTTGCTTACTTTCACTAAAGGAATAGTAATGGATGTGCCAGCTCTTTTTCAGATGGGAAAGCATTTTTCTTGCAACTTTCAGAAAGATCTCAGTCTTAACCAGGCCTTTGATAATTTCTGGGATCTGTTAGCAATGTCTGCCATGGAAGCAAAAGACAACCCCATAAATATAACATTCTTAGTCTAGATTTCACTGAAACCAAATCTCTTCAAGCATTTGCTCTCTTCTTTCTTCCCTATCAATTTGATCAAACATAACTGAAAGTGTAGAGAAGCCCAAGAGTGGTCAAGAATGCTCTGACAGGAGCAAATTCTGTCTCTGGCCACCTATGAGCTCAGTTTTTAAAGTCCCCTAATAGGAACCTTATGGCTGGGACAGCTGGGTGTCAGCAGGTCTTCTTTGAGCAGCTGTTTGCAGTAACCTATAGTTTCATGAGAACCAGGCTCTGGGGAACACGAGCCTGATAGATTTATTAGGCAGAGGTAAGAGATGCCCTTTGTCACTAAATTTTATAGGGGTATGTAAACCCAGATCCAGGGAGGAGTTGAAAACATTTGGGGTTTGGTGATTATATAGGACAAGAGAATCCTGATAGGGTTCCCATGATATCAGACCTCAGTGTGTTCTGGGAAAAGCTCTTATCTCCCTAGCTAACCTGAGTCCCTGAGAAACAGGATGTGTGGGCTGGAGGTGAAATGACACTCAAGTTGTCTCTGTTTTCTGGTCTTTATGACCTTCAGGACTTTCTAGTTTTGGGGCTTTCCAGCTAGAAGAAGCTTTCGAGTTAAGCCCTTTTATGTTCCAAATGAGGTCCAGAATGGAGATGGAATTTGTCCAGGTCACACAGCAAGTAGGTGGCAAAGCTAGGACATAAACCCTGAGCTCCAGCTCCAAAGAAGTGTCTTGCTCCCTCTCCTTTACACTTTGCTTCTGCACACTTGCTAATCTTTGAGAGGCAGACCAAATTTATTCAAATTGTTCCTCCTTTTAAGGCCTTTATATGACTTCTGGAAGAAAGAATAAACTTCTGATCAGGACTCATAAAAGCTAACAATATTTGACCCTGGTTAAACTCTCCAGCCCGATTTTTCATTTTTCCTTTCCCTCTCACCTTGAACACTCTGCTCCAGTGATATTTATAGTTCCTGACTAAAGTATATCCCTTCTCATCTTTGCATTGGTGTTCTTTCTGATGAAAACACCCTCCCCCTTCCACCTGGAAGAGTCCTGTTCATTCTTTGATTCTAAGCATTAACCTTTCTTTCATCTCCAGGGAATTCTTACTTGAGCTCCAGGTTCGAATTTGCTCCTTCAGCATCTAAAATGTTGAGACTCCAAGCATGTTTTCTGTACCAGCAATATTGGCCATGCCTGATAACTTGTTTAAAATGTAGGATTTCAGGCCCTTCCTAAGTGGACAGAGATTGTTATAACATCTACAGGTGAGTCTTGTGTGCATTAACAGATGGTAAGTACTGCTCTAAAACATCCTTCCACTCTCTTTTTTATAGCATGTGTCTTGTGATAATGTTCCACTGTAACTTCCTGATGATCAGTCTTTGTTTCATTAGATGCTGAACTGTGTACAAGGCCTGATCTGTCTTCTTTACTATTTTATTTCCTGCCTCCAGAAAAAAGGAACATAGTTAGCACGGTATATGAATCAATAAATCAGTTAATGAAGTGATGTCTCTTCAAGTCTTCTGATATTTGCAAGGACATTGCATTCTTTAGAATGTTAGAAGACAGAGTTTATGGACTCAGTTATTCCCAAACGTGATCTATATAGTTCCTTGAGAGCTTGGAATGAAATAAGGAACCCTTAGCATTAGATGGAGTGGAGATACACAGAAGAGATTTGACAGGTGGGACTCCAAGCCACCCACTAGAACTTCTACCAGAACAACATGATAACCATTTGGTCTACACATTTATAGATTCATTCTATTATCCAATTATTGTGCAAGTAATTATTTAGCACCTACTTTCAAAAGTGAGGAAAACATAAGAGATCATTAACTATGCATAACTTGCATCATAGCAGGGACAGATGGGAAGTGATATGTAAGTAAAAATGGACAACATGACACCAAAACTAATGAGTGTAACACAGAGAATTAAAATATGAAGGTGTGGTAGAACAAATGGGTAGAAATTTTAAAGAATTCTTTCATGAAGCAGCATTCTAGTTATAATCTGAGGTTCTCTGTAAGATTTATTTAGAAAAAGTAATTCCACTGATTTAAAATAAGAACACCACTGCATTAGTTAATCCAGATCATTTTATAGACAAGGAGGCAGGACCAGAAAGGAGCAGAGTCCAAAGAAGCACAGTGGTCTTACTAATAGGACCATGATAGGTTAGTATACAGCTTCTTTGATGCTTGCTGACATGCCAGGGTATGATATTAGAGAAATCTCAGATCCCCTCTGGGATACTAGAAAAAGCAGAGAATGTGCTACATTGGCATTGGCTGGGGACTGGATAACTGGAGGTTAGCAGGTTATCACAGTCCATTACCAAACGGGTTACCCTGCCTCTGTGGGCGGCCAGGAGGCCTTTCTGGAGGATTTATGTCCTCAAAGGTCATAAAGGATCCTAGCAGGCTGTAAAGACAAAGTCAGGAGTGGGGCTCTGGCTTAGTTTCTACCCAAACTCCCTGAGTCCTCTGGGAATGCTCAATAAAGTGGAAGGCTTTTCTCCATCCATAGGCAAGATGGCAGCTGAGATGACTCATGCAGTGACTTTCATCTAGGGCTCCATACTGTTGCCTGCCAGTCCACCTCCTTTTAGCTTTTATCTAAAGAACCTTCCTTTCATGTGAAGTGGAGAAAGTTAAAGTCCAGGACCCAACAGAACTGATAAGACCTGCCCTATGGAGATACCGCTTTTATCTTCTGACTAAACTTTCATCAAATCTCATCTCATCCCTTGAGGACCTTAAATTCTTGGAAGATCATTTCAAGTGTTATAAGGGATCAGGATGAGAGTTCAAGGCACAATCACCTTCCATGTCATACTCTGTGCAACTCTGGGCAATTCACTTAATCCTATGGGGTCTCCACTACTTCATTGTTCAAAAAATAGAAGAATATCCTACAGGGTCATTTTGAAGTATTTAAAACATGAAGTGCTGTCCACTAAGTACTTTGGGGAGTCACACAATTCTCTTCAATGCCACCAGTGTTGCCTTGGATGAGAATACTAGACTCTCTTCCTGGGACTACTGTCCCAACTTTGGTTAGAGTTTCACTGTCTCCTCTTGCCTTAACTCCTCCACTCCTTATTACCAACTGCAACCAGAGGGATCTTTTTCCCTTGAAGATTTGATAATATCACCCACCATCTGAAAAATACTTGGAAAAACTTGTCATTACCCTAGAGAGAGAATTTAAACTCCTCAACCCTACTTCAAGGGCATTCAAGATCTGGCCTGTGATGACCTCTCCCTTCTTCTCTCTTACCACTCCTGCTGACAGGCACTTGCCTGCAACTGCACAGAAATTCATTTCTCCAAACACAGTGCTCACCTAGGTGTAGAAGGAACTCCTCCGAGGTAGGGGAAAATATTTGAGGATCATTCAAGATGATCCCAGACCCAATGAATCACATTTGGAAAAGTAGTTAGATTTCTTCCTTCATTTTCTTCCCTTCAGGCTACTTTGAAAATAATATCTGGGTTTGAGGCTATCACTTTAACACTTCCCTTACTAATATGTCTTCTATAGGAACAGCCTTGTATTCTAGAATTGGAGAACATTTTAATTTTGTTTAGGTTTTGTTGTTGTTCTATTGCATTGACATTTAATATCAATGACTAGGTTTCCTTTTCTATTAAGGGTAGGTGGTACTGGTTTTCCCTTTATAAGATAATACAGTGTTTTCTATTTAAATATATTTTCAGCAAGAAGTGCTCTGTCATTTTTCATCTTCAGCCCTGACTTGACTGTACTGATCACCACTCTTTTTTGTTGGATACATCTCATTGGCAGCCTGGGGTGAAAGGATACAGTAAAAGTATTTGAAAGCAAAAAGAATCTGTCCCTTCACTTACACTTCTAAACCCATACCTGGGTCCCAGCTCATCCTCACTCCTCCAGACAAAGTCACCAAACTTTTCATAGTGTGAGTTGTAATGGTGTTGGACTCGGAAGAGCATTGAGGCTGAGACCTCCATCAGTGTGTTATAGGCAGTCTGCTGCTCCTTTCCACTTGTGTACCCATTGTACAGGTTGTAGATTTTGTCAGCTATCTCTGGGAGGAAAGAAATGCAGGATCAGATCACTGGCAGTAGGAAAAAGTGAGGAGAAGACAAAAGTATGGCTTTCAACAAGGAAGGCATAGCTGTGTGGGTGTTCATTCCTGGGGTCTTTGGAGATAGAGAGGTCTTCATTCTATCTTGATTATGTCATTGCCTAGATGTGTTAGCTTTTCTTATCTAGCAACTGAAGATATAAGGTCTTCTCTGGAGGTACACTGGGAGAACTAAATTAATATGTGAATGCAAAATACTCAATACAAGGCCTAGCACAAACTCATGATTATAAACTCAATTAGTGATATAATTATTATACTTAATATTTAACAGATAATTCCAAACTGAAGCTGAGACTTTAATCAATCATTTTCTATCTCCCCTCTGAAATATATGTATAATATATTTGTACAATCAGGTCTGATAAGGTCCTGTTCAAAACAGGAAAATAGAGAGGACTCTTCTTGCCATTCAGGGTCATTCCTGTAGGAGACACCTTTTTTTGGCTTTGAAGTATCTAATCAAAATCTGTATGTGTCCCCAGATCATTATTAACAATGGGTATCCCTAGAAGAATATGTGGGACTTAGAGTCAAAATGGGAAATGCATTTACTCTGAACTATTTTCTACTCTAATTTTAATTTTCTTTTATTTTAACCATATATATGTATTATTTTAAAATAACAACAATAACAAAAATAACCAGGAAAATATCTCAAATCCCCTCACCTTTGAGTCTCAAAAGCTCATTGTCTCTTCTCATCTAGTTGCACATAAAACATTTATATAGGATTCTTAGTGATTCATTTGTGGAAATGTCTGTTTATGCATCTAAAATGTGAACTCTTGAAATAAAAGTAGAGACTCTTCTCCACTGCATTACTTGGAGCAGAGCACTTGGGAAATATTTGTTTGACATAGGTACACCACCAGGACTCATGAGCTACCATCACATTTTGCCTGTATAGTTTTAGAAGCTGTATACACATTGCCTAAGTACATGGTGAATCTGATTGGCTAGGTGTATCTTTTGTCAGGTGTTCTTACTAATGTTTACATGGACCAATTAAAGCAAGAAGGTCTAATTTTTGCATGCTAACTCTGACTGATAGCCACTTACCATAGTTCTATGCTGAAGGTTCAGAGGCTACCTACCACGGGACTGGGTAGGTTAGCGTGCTGTAATCAGCTAATGTCATGGGCACAAAAAGGTGAAATAATCTCCTAGGTGCCACCTATTTGCCAGCTCTAGCATAAACTTAAGTAGAAGAAACTAATTGGCCCCTAAGAAGGCTAAACTAAAGACCTCGGACCCTTACCATGCTTTGTCCATTAGTCAGAATGTAAGTGAACACTATAAAGAGCAAGTCTTTCCACTGGCAAAAATATTGCTACTTGATCTCAATTTTTTCCCTCTGACTTTGATTAATTTGGGTCCATGGTCCTCCTGCTCCCTTGGTTCCTTCATTTTCTTCTCCTTGTGCCAGTGTGTGTGTGTGTGTGTGTGTGTGTGTGTGTTTGGTGATTTGTGACTACTGGTATAGAATTTAGGGAAGATATTGGAGTTACCTCTCAAGTGAAGAAATAGGTCACATACCTTCTGCCTTGATGTCATCCACCAATGGACAGGCTGTCCTCAGGGTCACGGTGCTGAGCTCTGAGTGCCTGCCCCGTGTATCCACAGCATACAGAGTGAACCTACAGCACAGCAGGAAACAGAACACCAGACTGAGACTTTACAGGAGACCCTTGTAGTTGAAGGGAGGAATACAAAATCACGACAGAAGTAGTAGTCCAAAGAACTCAGGGATGCTTAAACTGCAAAAGAAATTATTTGGAGAAGAGAATGACAATTCTAAAGCATTTACTGAGCATTGAATGCCTACTAGACATTTTGCACTTAATCTCCAAATTTGCAATTACATAAGTCTAAAATTCAGGAACTTAATATTCACCAATGAAGACACTGACACTTAGAATGCATATCTTTCCTTGGACTCATGTTGAGGAAAGAACAGGGGTTTGAACCCAAGCCCCTGACTGAAACTAAGGCCTTAGAAGTAAGCCTCAATGCTAGCCTATTGGATGAGTATCCTCATCCATTCATTTAAAGAATACTCAATCATTAACTACATGCTAGAAATTATTTCTGAGGTTATAGAAATTGTTGCTGAAGTTATAAAAGTAAACAAAGAGTCAAGGTTCCTGCTTACATAAGGCTAATCAAAATAAACAAAGAATCAGATAATGGTAAATGTGCTGGAGAATAGAAGAGGATCACATGAAAAAGGTGAACATAAAAGTGTGGGATGCTTATAGTTTAGGATAGGGGCAGTCCATGAAGGCCTTCTTAAAGCAAGAGCTAAGACCTGAATAATGAGGAAGAACCAGCTTATGGGAGGCAGACCTGGGGAAGAACATTGCAAGTGCAAAGTCCTTGAGGAGAGATGGAACCTTGACTGTTGGAGAATACACAGCTGGTATGGCTGGGACAAGATGAAATGAGGGGGCAGGTCAATGGAGATATTGTAGACTGTGACCAAGGGTCTGGGAGTTATTCTAGCTACAAGTACATCCCACAATGTCATCTGAAGTTCCATGCTGTCTTGGTGGAAGCAGATACAGCCTGTGTGGGTTTAAAGAGAGAACTGGTAAAAGCAGACCTGGTGGATTCAGGTCTAATCCAGAGCCCAGAATTCCTTCTAGAGAAGCCTCTATCTATCTTGGAGAGGCTCTGTGATCCTTCACATCTCCAGGTCTCTGAGTTATGACGTTTTTGAAGTCTAAGGAGGGAGTAGAGAATATTTTCCAGAGGAGGCAAGACTTAAAGGTCAAGAACAGAAAGAACAGAAAGATTATGCATCTGAGTGACACAACCTTGTCATGCCATCCTTTTTCCACCAGATCTTAAGGTTAAAGGTAATAGTGTGCAATGGGTAGAGAGTTCCCTATATTAAGTAGAAGGTTCTGAGTCCTACTGCCCCTATTTCTTTTCCTACTTCCTCAGCCCCTCAATTTCACTCATACTATAAAATGGGCATAAGGTCATGATTGCAAGATTTCAGAATTGTGACTCTACATATTAGGCACTTAATAAATACTTGTACAAATTAATTTACATTAAGAACTTAATCTGTGTCAAGCATTAAGCTAAGCAGTTTTAGCCATGTTATAACAATTAATTCCCCCAAACACCCCTCAAAAATAGGTACTATTACTCTGCTTACTTAATGCTCAGAAAGGGAAAGCAGCTTATCCAGGATCACACAGTAATTACTAGGACTGGCCCAGGTTTGTCTGACTCCAAAATCCATGCATTAACCACTGTCATGTGGCTACAGGTATCATCTTTGTACAGATATAACTCCATTAGCTACACTTGCTGCATACAACTATGCTCAGGCAGTGCCGCCTCATATGTTTTTCTGATCTCATGAAACTACACTAAAATAATCACCCTCAGTTTTTTCATCTTTTAGAAACTGAAGATAAGGGCTATCAGAGTGGCTCAAGTATAGAGAACACAATTAGCAAGTATGAGACCCTGAGTTTAAACTCCAGTATTAACCAATTAAAAAAAAAAGAAAAGAAAAAAGAGATTTTTTGGGCTGGTGGAGTGGCTCAAGTGGTAGAGTGCCTGCCTAGCAAGACAAGCAAGCATGAGGCCCTGAGTTCAAGTCCCAGTACTTCCTAATAAAAAAAAAAGAAACTGAAGATAAAACAGCTAAGCAATTTGTCTAAAGTCACAGGTTTATAAGATGGAAGTGTCAACCTATCGTCTTACTATAAAACTTGTAACTCTTGCTCTCAGCTGCCACTTTTCTGCACCTGCTCTACCTGCTCTACCTCTCACTGACTTGGAGGGTCTGGTGTTGGTAAACTACCTGGGCCTTCCCAGCTTCCATACCCCATGATCTCATGCCTTAAAGATGGCTTATATAAAATGTTGCAAGAATCAAAACTTCTTAGAACAAAGGAAGGAAAGGGTGACAGAGAAAGATGCCTGGTTTGGAGGATGACCAGATGTGGGTTCATATTCCTGTTCTACTCCCTTGTTCTGTGACCTTGAGCCAGTCATTCACCCCGGGTTTACCTCATCTCTCTACACTAAGTATCTGTAACAGGGAGACTCTTGCTTACCTTACAGGTTCACTGAGATTGAATATGAAAGATAAGTTCTCTCTGAAGTAACTTATCATTGGAAAGCCATGAAAAATGGTTGGGAATAGGATCATAAACTTTCAGACTGGATGTGGTGACACACAACAGTAATCTCAGCATCCAGAAGGCTAAGGCAGGAGAACTGCATGTTCAAGGCAAGCCTAGGCTATACAGTCAGCACGAGCTACATAAGGAGACATGGTCTCAAAAAAAATGGGTGGGGGAGAAGGAAAGCAAGAGAGCAAGTAAGAGGAGGGGAAGGGAAGAGAAAGAGAGACACAGAAAGCATAGAAAGAAAGAGGGAAAAGGAAGAAAGGAAGGAAGGACAGAATGAAAGAAGAAGGAAGGGAGGGAAGAAGAGTTTAGAATGTGAGCATAGGAAAGTGAAAAGGTATGGAAAGGACACTATTGGGTAATACTGAGTAAGCACTTTCCACCATCTGCATATCAACTCACCTAGAAAGTGCCAGAGGCAGCATCCAAAGCCCGACCTGAAGGTCCAGAGGGACACAATGTAGCTTGGGTAGAGCTACACTGCAACATTTAATATAACACTAGGCACAGATAGTCACTCAACCAATACTTGTGTAAATGAATAAACTTGAGTATACTGCATCTCATTTGTCACCTTCAACTTTTCCATCAATAGAATAGGGATGATTTTACAGACTAAGCTATTTTATAGGGCTCACTCAAGGATTACATGAGGTGATGCATGAGTAAGTGGCTTGTAGCTGCAGATTTTTATAAAGACCATATGTACAACACTTATGTGGGCAAGATAAAAACACATTCTTGGAATTTGAAGAGAAGGAGATGTATTTCAACTGAGGAACACATAGAAGGCTGATAGTAGTAGAATGTGATGGATCCTCAAGACACAGGACTTGGGATATGTTTATCACTACTTTCCTATTGGTCACTTGTGTTTTTGCAGTGGTTCTGCAACATATTTCCTTTACCAGAGGGCTCAGGGTCAGCTCTCTGCTTTGCCAAGCAACATAGAGAACAACTGGCTGGGGGAAAAAGCAGTTTTAGAGTTTTTGGTTTTTGCTTTTGTATACTGGAGATTGAACCCAGGGCCCTGCACATGCATGCTAGACAACTTCTCTACCACTAAGTTACATCCTTAGCCCAGTCTAAAGTTATAAAATCTAGGTAGAATCCCTGAATACTCCAATTGCAGGCTGAACATTCTTTGGGAAGTCACTCACCTTCTCTGAGCTTCAGTTTCCTCACCTATAAAACAGAGTGAAATTATCCATATCTCACATGTTGGGGATCAAGACTCAATGATATAATCATCATATTAATAGGCCTGAATCAATCTTTGTGACTAAAAACATAGCTTCTATTTTTTGTTATTACTGAAACAAACATGTCAGGCCACCCTGCTTGAGGTGTGTGCTTGGGTTGCAGGGGAGAGAAAGAGGAAGATGTAACCTCACAGACCTGGGTCAAAAGTCACCAGGCCATGTGCTTTCTGCCTGTCTCAGCTGTAATTGTAGAACTGTTCCAGAGACACATCTGAAATCTGTTAGGGGACCAGGCATGGCCTAGAGGGGTTCTTTGTGAGGCAGAGAAAGATGGAGAGAGAGAGAGAGAGAGAGAGAGAGAGAGAGAGAGAGAGAGAGAGACTGTCATACCACACTGTTTCTTGGGACAGGTATCAATCAAGTACTCTCTGCTTGACTCTGCCATTCTCTCTGATACAAACTGAAGTTCAATGACTTTCATGGAGGAAGAAAGCAAGGCCCAGAAGGGAAAGTGACTTGCAAAGCTAATAAATTACAAGTGAAGACAGCAGTCTTCCTGGGTCCTCCTCCCATGATTTTATTTGCTGTATCACTCCTCTGATGCAGCTGGCTGATCTAAGTCCATGTCTCAAAATTTTCATTATAAAAGAGACTCTAGGGGTGAAAGAAGATGGGCTTTCTAGGAGTAGAAGCTACAGTCCCAATCCATTACTATTCCTACTCCTGACCTTGTTTTGAAGGAAAGAACATTGGCCACGGTAGCTGAAAGCCTGAGTTTGACTCCCAGCATTTCCTCATACTGTGGTGTGAGATCTTAAGTACCTAAAGTGATATGGTCTTCATATATCAAAGAGTTGAAATGAAAACAAACAAACAAAACATGGTGTGAAGTAATGCCTTGGAATGACTAACTCAGATGCAAAGAACTTTTTACTCTCTCTTCATCAGTGAGGACATTGTCAGGACAAATGCCTTCCCTTGGGACCCTGGATGTGGCTACTTGATGTCCACTGATTTACCTGTACTCTGTCTGTGAACCCCAAATAGCCCTGGCAGAAGGTCCAGGCTTGTTTGCTGATCTTTTCTTCTTATTCTGTTTCACAGCAGAGAGGTATAATAGTTCTGGAACATGCTACACTTCCTAAGTGGGTCACTTCTCCTTAATTTGAACACTTCACCTTGTCCTTGTGGCTTCCTTCAGACCTAGTCTCTTTCAGAAAGCCTGTTTCGGGGTCTTCCGAATAGCCACTTAGCCTCCTCTTTCACAGGGTGTACATGGAG